ACAAAACCCCTATAGATGAAAATAAACAGTGATTTCACCTACCCTCACCATCATCCAAACTTCATCGCACGATCACAATTGTTTGATAATGTTTCAATTTTCATGTTTGTTTTACCAGTCGGAATGATATGAAATTTGAACCATGTGTACATCTTAATAAGATGCAGTTAATAAAAATATAAAAACATAATTCGTAAAAAAATTTTTGATAAAATAACCTCCGTAAATTTTCTGAAAGTATTTTAATCAATTTATATTTTGTAAATTATTTTTTTCATATTTTTATTAAATACGCCTCACTAGGATATACACACGCTCCATATTTCAAATAATTTACATTTTAATCATTTTATTTTATTAAAACTTTTTTATATATATTTTTAGGCACGAGTTCAAGTATATGATGTATAGAAAAGCTTGCCCAAAAGAAATATGTTACATCTCTCTCTTATACGTAAGAAATATGTTGCATTGATCTCTCATGTGAATATGTAGCACGAATGGTCACCCTCTCTTTCTCATGTGTGTGTGATAAATATGTTGTTCTATCTGTGATTCTCCACCAATAATACACTCTCTGTGAAAGAAATATGTTGCTCTATTGTGATGAAAGCAGTTCCAAAAGGAGGCGACCAGCCTATACACATACCAAGCAAAATTAACATGATCATCCACCTCAAAACTGATTATAGAGCCCCTATATCCGCCACTGAGTTCCTCTTTACCTTCTAAGCTAAAACTCGACCTCCACTGAGCTCCTCTTTACGTTCTAAGCTAAAACTCGAGACTGTGCTTTCCCATGTAACACAAAAATCCCAAGACTTAAAAAAGCAAAAGAAAGCGAAAACAAGAACTTAAAAGTTTAACAATAGGCACCGAAAAATCAGTAACTCTCTACATCTTCACTCAACAACCCAAGAAGCTCACCTTTCTTCAGCTTCGAGTAGCCCTTCACTCCACGAGACTTTGCAAGAGCCCTTAACTCCGATAACTTCATGGAGTTCAAATCTCTCTGTAAGTTTGTGGAATTCAATTCTCTTTCCAACTTTATGGGGTTCATTTCTCTCTCTTCAGAGAGTGCCTGGTCCATAAGCTCATTTTTTGCTTCCTCTGGTTCCTCATCTGAGGACTCAGAAAGCTTAGTATAAACTTCATCGTCCATAGTGGAAGAAACAAGATTTGGTTGCGGTTCAGAAGCCCTCTTGTTGCTCTTCTTTTCAACCTTGAATGATAAATCTGAAGAACTGGTATTCTCTGTAGAATAAACAGGCTGGTATTTCACTCGAGGAACTGGTGATCTTCTCCTGAAATTTGAAGCTGGCCTGGCAAAAGAGACAGTCTCCGATTCTTCGACCTCCTCTCTTCCAACTATTTCATTTTTATCAATATCCTCTTCCTCTCTCTTAACTTCATTATTAGAATCGAACAAGTTCAAGCTTTTCTCGTGGTCAAGTTGGCTGGTTGTCTCTGAAAGCTCTCGATCAAAATCCCCAACTTGAGGTTTCTTCTTACCATGTTGTGCAGAATGTTTCCTCAGTAGTTTAAGGAGAGAGTCTACTGTGCCTTTTTCACCCTGTGCTTGAGACGCCTCAACTTTCTTCTCCTCTTTGATTGCAGCCCTTTCCCTAAGTTGGGCTTGGACCTTCCTGAAAAGCTCTACAATCTCACTCTCTCTAGCCCCTGGTGCGGAGGTTGCTTGGAATTTGGAGCTCCTAGAGAAAGATAGTAATGGACCGTTTTTTGAGGAGATATATTCTGAATCTTCAAGGTTCTCTAAGCTCTCTCTCTCTTGGTTTGGCCTGTTTCGCCCTCGATATCCTTGTCTGTTTTGCCTCGAGAAATCTGGGTTTCTACGGAAGCCGGAGTCCCCGGCACACACATAAAGAGAACAGTATCTAGAGCCAGGAACAAAGGATTTTCTCATGGAAAGCTTAGGCCTTGCATAATATTTGAAATCATTGGAATATGGATAAGATGAAACAACTGTTCTTCTTGAAACTCCAAAGGGGAATTGACTTCCTTCTGATAGCCCATAACCTGCACATAGCCCATAAAACAGGAAATGGTATTGTAAAATTTATTCATTGAGAAAGCCGTCAAGCAAAGAAGGTATACTATTGTCCATGGCCTATGAAGCCTATGAAACTGTAATACATTGGGTCTTGAGAGTAAAATAAAATGGTGGATAGTGATGGAGTGTTACACCTACCGTAACAGGACATGAGCCCAGTCTGTTTACTGTTTTTTCTCCATCATTGTTCTTCATTTCATACGGCGGTCATGAATCTGATGGACAATGATTTTCCATAGACCATCGACCCATGCCAATTCTTTTCTTGCTGGCCAATATCCAGCTCATGCTCCATATATTAGACTCATGGAAGGTTTATACCAAAACAATGGCCCTCTAATTCCCTTCGTTATTAACACAGATCGAATTTGTTCATAGTTCCAACAATAAAATTTTATTAGAGCTTTTCCTAATTTTGTATACATGAACTTTTGTCCACATAAGACTTGTACCTCAATTTTGTAAAAAAGGCGAGGGATGTGACATGGCATTGTCAGCATTCTTTCACAAGTGGGTTTTCAAGGTTGTGAAAAATTGAGTCAACAAAGGAGCTCTTTAGCTCATGGAGTTCGAATGGTACAGGGATGGTGAGAGAAACAAATGAAGTAGCATTAAAGCTCAGTAAGAAATCATTGCATCTTGATGGAACAATATCAATTAGGCTCCATTACTGTAATGTCAATTATAACTGCTAGTAGTGGACGAAAGAACAATTTGGGATCTTGATGTGGAAGTCGGCAGTACCACACAAAACTGCTGTTGGGAGGTTTAAATCTTTCAAAGAAAGAACTATGCTATTGTTATATATACGGCACTCAATTTACATGAAATAATAGTCCATCCAATTGTCTAAAAAAGTCATGTCTGTAGCAACTAGGAACCTTCTCTTATGAGAGGCCCAGCCTCCTGTGAATAATAGTATTTTAGATTTACAATTTTAGATGTATACTTGTTTGCCTCATATTTTTTAACATGCTATCAGAGTTTCATCCTTTAGAGCATGCCAATGTGTTCCCTAGGAAAATAATATTTTTCAAGATCGCTCCATGGGGACACAAACCCACAACCAGATGGAAATAAAAGAAGAAAAGGAGGGAGGGGGGGGGGGGGGGGGGTGACGTTTGTGTGGCAGGACTTCAAAATTTCCAAATTTTCAATCAGCCATCAACACATGATGATGAAATTTCTCCACCAATCATATATAAACTGGAGAATAACTAATCAATTCTATAGAATAGATATAAGCAAATCAGGGAGTAGACCTTTTCCAATTTATGACGATATGGTTGCCACCTTCCATTTTACACTCACCTGGATACTACTGCTCAAGGTCCCCTTGTCAAACCAGTATCTAAACTACCACTTTGGTTGCTAAACCACTTGGTAGCAAAAATCATCTATCCATGGCCAACTTGTACCCACTAACGACCAAGAAACTCAAGAATCCATTAATGGGAAAAAAAAAAAAAACTCTAGGCATCCATGACACTTACCAAGCTCTGGACAAAGTAGTTGCTTTTAGCAACAGAGAAACTATAAATAATTTTACTACATAAATTAAACGAACAAAGCAGGAATTTCACTCAGTATTCCAAATTCCATAACCATTCGGCAACACCAGCACTATATAACGAGCATTACCATGAAGTAAATTATTCAGGGCTATTATATTCTAACAATATTTAATGACCATGGTAGTCAATGGGAGCATAATTCTGCACAGATGGGTCTTATTTCATGAGATTAGTTAATAAAAAGGGCAAGGCCAAACAATAAAGTGCAGTGTCCTAATGAATGCCATAAAAACCTAAGTAGGTAGAAGATTTAATTCGAATTAAATCTAATATAATTAGGGTGAAGTTTGTGTAAGGTGCCCCCCTTATACTTTACAAGTAAGGCACATTGTTGTACGTCATTTTTGACGTACTTGTTTCCGCGGTATGAATAAGAAGAGGGCCAGTTGCGACTTGGTCCCGCCGGTACCCAAAATACCGCGAGACACTGCAAAATAAGCCCAAAACTGGACAACCTTGGAAAGAGTACTAAAACGGCTTCAGAATGCATGGGAAGGATCGTTTGGGATGCCCGGAGGAATGACGCACTTGTTTCCACGGTACAAATAAGAAGAGGTCCAGTTGTGACTTGGTCCCGCTGGTACCCAAAATACCGCCAGATTAGGAAAACACTGTAAAATAAGCCTAAAACTGGAAAACCTTCGAAAGAGCACTAAAACGGCTTCAGAATGCATGGGAAGGATGGTTTGGGATGCCCGAAGCTCGTAAAGTTTCGTGACATTTCGACAAGTTTTGATATGATCAGAACGAAATTCTATTCACAAATCCAGTTCCTATCATGCTGAAAAGGAACCTTATAGCTACAGCCCTATTTTCGGGGCCTCAAAACAATACCAGACAACCGTCATTGGATCCGGAATGTCAAAAAACCCCTAGAGACCAAATTTGGGCTCAATCGGACATTCCAAAACCATTATAGGTCCAAATTACCATAAAGGGTGAACCAGTTTCCATAAAGGGTGAACCAGTTTCCAAAATCATTATGGGCCCAAATTACCATAAAGGGTGAACCAGTTTACACTATTACTGTGCAACCTCGGTGAACCAGTTTCCATAAATGGAAACTGTGTTTTTATCCCTCACGATGATTTTCAAATGCTCATAACTCGCTCGTTTTGAGTTGAAACGAGCTCAAATTCGAATACAAGCTAGTCTTGAAGACCCCATCGTTTTGACATATGGCACACGTCATGACGTGGCCCGAGACAAGAGAATTTCTAGAGAGAAGATGAACACAAAAACATGAAAATCAGAATTTTAAAAGAAGACATCCAGTACTTCTTGAAGTCATAACTTGAGATCCGTATGTCGGATCATCGCAAAATTAGGTTCGTTGCGATCGTATGACGAAGGACTACAAGTTTGGTATAATTTTTACGCTCAGTGCGAATTTCAAGGTTGAGATGTCGAGATTTTTCGGTCGTCGGAGTTACACTTTCGGGGGACTTCCCAAATTGGGATATGCTCAAACAGAAACCAAATCAAACGAAATTTGGTGCAAAACGATCGTAACAATGTCCTCTTCAATCTGTGATCAAAATGATGACTCGAAACATCACGGATCGCACCGGATTTATGGTCGAAGATTATGGACTTGGCTGGATTTTTGCCTCTTCATGAAAAATCCATTTCAAGGCGATCAAAAGGCATCAAAATGTTCGTGACGGATCAAGCATCGATTCTAAGACGATCGATCATCCGAATCACCGCTACAAGTATCTGAAAAAGCTCCCGAAGTCTAGCAATGGCAAGAGGCCGCTCAGGGAGGGATGGTTTTGTCAATAGCTCAAAAGATCTAAGCGGTATTTTACTCATTATGTCCAAAAACGGGATTTTATTTTAATTCCATTTAATTGTATTTTTCCACAATTTAGCTTAGGTTTGAGCATCCACCCATGCTTTGTGGTAGCTATATATAGGCAAACTTAGGTCAATTGTACAAGGGATGAATCATTTGTTAATGAAATTGAGACGTGAAGCTTGCTTTGCCTCTAAACCTTGAATCCAGTGGTGAGGAGAGAGAAAATTTCCGTAGAGAGAGAAACTATCCCTAGCCTACACCATGGTCCATGCACACTAGACTACCCTACGGTCCACGCTCTCCAACCTACACCCTAGCCTACCCTGTGGTCCATGCACACTAGCCTACACCCTAGCCTACCCTTCAGTTCACACTCTTTAACCTATACCCTAGCCCACACCATGGTCCATACACATCAGCCTTGACCCACGTCTAGCCCCTCTCTCTCTCATGTGTAAGCAAGGAGTCTAAAGGTGGTGCACCTAGGCTAGGTTACACCCCACACCCACTCTCTCTCCTCTCTCTCTACCTCGTTCCTTCCGCACAGCAACTCAGAGCCGTAGCAAAACCTGCAGCTCCATCCTTGCAGCTCCGCCTCTCTCTCTACACTCCTTCGTTGTGCACGAAACCGCAGCAAAATTTGTGGCTCCGTTACCTGTGGCTCCGTCTCTCTCTGCACTCCTTCGCAGTGCACGAAACCGCAACAAGACCTGCGGCTCCGTCACCTGCGGATCCATCACTTACGGCTCCGTCTCTCTCTCTTTGCACTCCTTAGCTGTGCACGAAGCCGCAACAAAACCTATGGCTTTGTCACCTGCGGCTCCACCACCTACGGCTCTATCACCTCCAGCTCCGTCACTTGTGGCTTCGTCACCTACAGCTCCGTCACCTACAGCTCCGTCAACTACGGCCATGTTACCGTGTGGCCCCATCCTCATCTTTTTGCCTCTTTCGTACTCACATGCATGCCCGCCTCTTTGCGGGGACACGAACCTTCCCCGTCATTTTTCCTCACTCTATCTGTATATTGATAGTATCTCTAATCCATTGTGCATTTGATTTAGTGCTTTTAGTGCATTCTAATTACCGCTCTAACTTCCACTCCGTACAGTTAAGTCGAGTTGTGAGAGATATAGATGCTCTCACCCTCACTCACTCGAGTGGAGTCATCTTGAGTTGGTAGTCAAGAGAATTCTGACTCTTTGGTTGCTTTGATTGCCGAGTCTTGTAACGCTCAAACGGGTAAGAGAACTCAGGTCCCCCTTCCTTTTCATTTCTTCTTTGCCAGCCAACCCCCTTTTGAATTCATATTGCAAGTTTCGAGATAAAAATAAGAGATGATTTGCTGAAGTATGAGGAGAGTTCATGTCCAAACCGCACTGGCAGACAGCCGGAGAGCAGCATAATTGTTCTAAGAGGGCGACTGCCCAGGCGATGAGGTTGGAGCCTAAACGTATCCTTGTCGTTAAAATCTCTCTCGTCGTTCGTTCCGATCTGCATAAAAAAGAGCACACACACACGCCTAAACGCTCAAGCGCATGTTCCATTCGCGGTTGTAGTTCCAATGTCAAAAATCTCTAAATTTTGCCCGAAGATATAGTTCCGGTGTCGAAAATCTTAGGATGGCTTGAAAATTCATGTTCAATCCTAATTATGAAATTTAAAATTCAAAAAATGGTGTTTGTGGATCGAGCAGATCTATAAACACTTGAAAATATTGAAAATGGACGGTACATATAATAACTTGTTACAAGAAGCACTATGTTTAGGACTTTAAATTCCTTTTTTTCTTTATATCCATACATCTCAAAGTTGAAATGATCAATTGGAAGGTTTTCCAACATCGGAACACTCTTTTCTACAAGATCTTTGAGGTGCAACTTACTTCCATAGTATAAGGTTGCAACCTTATGTAAACTTTTCCTTCTATCAATTAAATTTTAACAACATTACACAAACATTATAGTGTAAAACTCTATGCCTACAAGGAACTTAACTATACAACAAAAACCAAGTCATCACCGTGCCACACAAAATAGCAAATTGAGCAATAATATGTTCAATTGACATATTTTAGAAAAACTGGAAATCAAGCAGTTTGATAAATTTTCTACAAGATTTTTGAGGGGCAACTTACTTCCATAGTAACAGGTTGCAACCTTATCTAAAGTTTTTCTGTATATCAATTAAATTTTAACAACATTACACAAACATTATAGTGTAAAACTCTATGCCTACAAGGAACTTAACTATACAATAAAAATCAAGTCATCACCGTGCCGCACAAAATAGCAAATTGAGCAATAATATGTCCAATCGACATATTTTAGAAAAACTGGAAATCAAGCAGTTTGATAAATACAAGAGGTAAACAGGGAATGGAGACCTCAACTGGAAGGGGGAAGAAAAAGTCAGCAAATTAATTAGTACATACTTGAAGAGCAACTCAACAACCCTGGCTCATGCCAAAGGATTAAATGTCATACGAAACCAATAAAAACCAGTGAAAAATCAATGACCCAATTTCAGAAAACAGAATCTCAATCTCAAGTGAAACACATAAGTCATCAAAAAGTAAAACCCACAAAAACCAATGAAACATAGATGACCCAATTGTAGCAAAAGAAAAATGCAAGCAAGAAGCAGATTAAAATAAAACAGTATTATGGTATTTGGAAAAACAAATATAAAGTAAGGCCTGCAAAAACAGGTTAAATGTCCATCACTCAATTTCAGAAAAGCAAAGCGAAGAAAAAGGCAAACAAAATAAGCACTACATCATAAACAACAATTAAATTGATATTACTATTTCAGAAGTAAAAAGCAAGCTATAAATAAGCATATAACCAGTATCAAGCCCATTACACCAAGAAAAAAATCCCCAAAAAGTGAGGGAAAGAAAAAGAGATTTCATTTAAAAATGACCTACCTGGTAAATTGCTTGAGGAGAGCTTAACCGCTCCAGACATTGTCTAAAACCAATGGTTTTCTTTAATGGCGCAAGCGCATCTTTTAGCTATTTTGTAGAGTGAGAAGATGCCTAGTGACCTGCATATAAATGAATAATATTAGGCTAGAGAGAAAGAAAACCTGTAAAAACTAAAACCCATATTGATAAGACTTACTTGAAATGGAAACCTAAAACTCGTAGGAATTTTAACAGGGTTGAATTGAGTGCAAAGAGAAGTAACAAAGTGGTCTGAGCTTTGAAACCCTAAACCCTAGAGAACGAAGGGCCTCTAATCTCATTCGAAAAACCGATGGCATAGAGGGAAACATGACACACGAATCTGATATTTAGGCAGTTGATGAGGGTAATTTTGTCAAAGTTTTTGTGCCGTTTTTTCGCCCTTTCTTTTTGGCCTTTTGTGGGACCCGGTTTCTATGCGGCCAAGCCCGCATATATACAAATGCGGACCTCTTAATCAATATATTTTTTAGATGGATTTTAAGACATAATTTTTAAGGACATATAATCTCTAACATCGAGATAATGCAAAATAAATAAATTTTAAAAATTAAAAATAATAATTCTAATAAGAAAATATTTTGACCGTTAGTTTTTATTGTTTTTAGATGAAACACCAATTTGCATGCATCTTTAAGATAGATGAGCATGAAACAATTTTCCCTGATAAATTGTTCCTAAAACTCAATGCTTTTACAAGTACCATTGATTGAGTAAGATAATACGCTATAATTTTGTATTTTAATTCATATACACCATGAATATTTATGATTTTAAAAATATATACAATGAGACTATTTATTTTTTATACAAAGAAGTTACAATTATTATTAACTGCTGGATGTAAAATCAGGTGGTTGAGGATGTGTCATTGATTGGACACAAAGTTCGAAATAAAATTTTTCAAATATTGTGACACAGTTGAATCTATTGGATTTCACGTCTAATAGCTAAAAACAATTGTGAACTCTTATATTAAAAGTAAATGATCTCATGATATACAACCCTTTCTAAAACTTTATGATATAAAAATGTAAATTACTATATAAATGAAGTGTAGGAACTATACTAAAACACAATGGCGATACTCGATACGACACCCAAGTCATGTAGGAATGTAGCCAAGTGCCGGCACCATAGAAGAATCAAGTGTCGGGATAACACTGCTCCATATGATTTATATCAGTAAGCCGATTGGCAACCATCTAATTATGTTCAAATGTTTGTCACCGAGTCAAAAACAATCCTATAAATTAATTACGACGTAACAAAAACAACCGGTGTTATTTGTTTTGTACCAAATCCATCTCTCTGTATACGTGTCCAGGAAATTTGAGGGCGTGAAAAAGGATGCTTCGATTGAGTGAGAGGGCAGTGAACAGCCTACTGCAAGGTTTTTCTTTTACAATTCACTGTTGTGCTAAGCACGGTAATAAATAGCACTTTATTAACTCTGCACAGCGAACTGCATTTCTGCGCGGTCTAAGATCACCTCTACAAGCACGCCAAATACAAACAACATGAATACAAGTATAGATTAGGGTTGAAAATTTACTTGGTTTGGATCCGAAATTCAAATTTTGGACTCTATTTGGATTCGGTATGGATCTAAGATTTGATTCCCATGGTTTGGATTCGGTTCCAAATAATAATTTGGATTTGTGTGCAAGTAGATCCAATCTAGATCCAACCCA